CCCCTCTTCCGTTCTGGCTAATCTACATGCCTCCGTCGACGGAGGCATGGAGTCTGGACACAGCCTGTGTGTGTCTCTGTGTGCATGCTGCTGCCTGAATTCATACTTGTGGTTTCAAATGAGGTGTGCAGTTTGTAACTCTGGTGTTCATAACTCTGAAGTTCTATATAATATCTGCTATGTTTGAGTGTATACATCTGTTATTGTTGAGTGTAAGACATTTGTTATTAGCTTCTTACTTTTGTGCTTTTTTAGTGAATGCTCCAGCACAGCATGCTGTAGAACCTAAATCAAGCCTACCAGCCACTCACGGTAAGTTCTGTAATAGTTTCAGTACTTGCAAATGTAATACTTAGTCTTCACAATTTATCATATGTGGGATCCTTTCTATGTGAATACTTAAATTCAGTATAGAATACAGTTTATTTAACTATGCTTTAATTATCACATTAAACATTGTTCTAATATATATGTAACTGTGCTATAGAGATAGATAGGCATAAAAACTGACAATGCTTTGAGAGTGATTCCTGTAAGACAGGTTATTTTTATCTTCATGGTGTATTCTATGTAATTGTTTTTCCAACTGAACATTAGAACTAACAGTGGAGCGGATGCAAAATTGTGACTTTCTGTTAGACTAATAGTGAACAAAACTGATGTTTTCCTTAATAGTGTGTGTGCTTTAAGTCTTAGGCTAGGGCTACACTGCAGAGGGAAGGTCGGTTTAAGGTACGCAACTGCAGCTTCATAAATAATGTAGCTGGAGTCAATGTATCTTAAGATGAGCTTGGTGCCAAGACCACAGCGGGAGGCCCGGGGAGAAACACTCCCGTTGACTTCACTTACTCCTCGCAATACCAAAGAGTGCTTGCGCCAGCAGGGGCACCCTCAACATTTGATTTAGTGGGTCTTTACTAGACCCACTAATGTGATTCCCGAATATTGATTGCCAGAGCATCAGTCCTCCGATAAGTGGAGATTTAGCCTTAGAAAACTATATTTTTTCATGTGGCTTCAGTTATTAGTTGGGGAAAAATTACAACAGACATAACCAGGCATAATCTTTGTGTACTGTAGGTCAATATATTGGTTTATTAACCCACAATATTGTGATATCTAATACTTGAAAACAGCCACCAGCCCCAGGTATCCAGGGTTCTCTAGCCCCTGGCCCTGAACTGCAGTGGGCAGCCTGGTTTCCCCAGCTCTGCGCTGCTGCATGCTGCTGGGATTCTCCAGCCCCTGGCTCCATGCTGCCACAGGCAGCTGGGATTCTCCAGCCCTTGGCTTTGCACTGCCATGCTTCCCTGGCCCCATGCAACCATGGGCAGCCAGATTTCTCTAGCTCTGCGCTGCTGCAGACTGCTGGGGTTCTCCATCCCCACATTGCCATGGGTGGCTAAACTTATTCCTCCTCCGGTCCTATGCTGCCGCAGTCTGCTAGAGTTCTCCAGCCTGTCCCCATAACTTTTGTGGGGCTCCGATCCTGCTGCCCCCAGCTGGGCTGCTGGCTCTCCTATCATTAGGCTCCTGGGCACTCTGGTCCAATAGCATTCGTGGTCCTGCCGGACCACAGATGTTGCCAGACCAGAAAGTACTGGTTTTCAGAGGTTCAACCTGTAGAAGTATTTCTAGAAAGTTTAATATTGGATACAATTTTCAGAAGGGCCTAAATGACTTAGAAGCCTGAACCTCATTTTCAAAAGCAATTTTGGCATTTAGGGCTAAATCCACAGAGGGAATTAGGTGTGGCTTCACTCAGTGTTGCAACACTTAAACTCTAGGTGCCCTCTCCTCTAATGGAATCCTTAGCCCCAAGTTAGGCATCCAGACTCTCCATAAATGCCTAGGGAGAGTTAGGTGCCTATGGAAGGAATTATCAGAATCTATCAAGCTGAGTAGGTAGCCACCTAAATTAGATATGAATGAAGTGCAGAGGAAAGGGGTGAGGCTTAGGTCCATATCCTCAAAAGTATTTAGGCACATTCCTGGTATTGACCTGGTTTTTATGTGTCTGACTGACAGAATGGAGTGACTTGCTGCCCTCTACTTGAATCATGAACCCCTCCCTGGAGTTAGGCACATAAGCCCAAACAAAAGGAAAAACTATGTAGCACTTTAACGACTAACAAGATGATTTAATAGGTGATGAGGTTTCATGGGCCAGGCCCACTTCCTCAGATCGTATTCTGGAAGAGAATTGGCATGACCATATATACCAAAGGAATACAGTGAAAAAAGTGAACACATTATTAAGCTGACAAATCAGATTCAGTACAGAAGATGGGGTGAGGGAGAGGGAAGTAGGGAATAGTTATTTATGAGTCAATGAATGGATAAACAGGGGTGATAAGTAGGGAAGCTATCTTTGTAATGGTTAAGGTAATTAGCATCTTTGTTAAGGCCCATTCGTAAAGTGTCAAATTTAGGCATGAAAGTTCTGAAGTTTCCCTCTGTAATCTGGTGTTAAAGTCTCTTTGAAGTAAGATACATGTAGTAAGGTTGTTAAGACTATGTCCAGGTAGGTTGAAATGAAAAGCAACTGGTTTTTCCTTGTGAAGATGTCTGATGTCTGATTTGTGGGCATTAATTCTTTGGCGAAGTGTCTGAGAAGTCTGTCCAATATACATAGCAGAAGGAAAGGCTTCTCAGACACTTTGCCGAAGAACTGACTCTTCCAGTTTTAAATGCTTCCTTTCCTGTTGGTAAGCCATTTCTGTCAGAGATGGCCATTTCCTCTGCATTCACTGCCTTGGAGAGGTATACATCTCAGAAGTGCACTTTTTGTCTCAAATTAAAATCCAGAACCAAAAAGAGCCATATGCTAAAATTAAAACTGCTCATGATGGTAAGCTTACTCCAACCAACCTTTGACCCTGCATCTGGACTCTCCCCTTCACAGCAGTCCCCAATGAGACTGATCTGATCTATAGCACTGGGTCGATACTGTCCAGGGACTTCAAAGAGGAAATCCTTCGATTCCTCTCAGAAAGTCTTGCAAAAGTAGGCCACAAATTCCCCAAGTAGGAAATCAGCCAAGAAAAAGAACAAGCATACATGGATGGAAATTGTAATTTGGTAAACAAAATGTTTTGTGGTTCAAACTTAGAACCCCGATGGACTGCATGAGCTCTCGGGCCACAGATTGCCCACCCCCACTGTAGAGGTTATAAATTAAAAATATATAATTTATTGTTTCCTTTTTTAATAAGAGGAAGTTGATTTTTCTTGCACTCTCTCTCTGTACTTCATTTTTATAGAGCTCTTTGAACTGAAGAACTCTCTATCGCCCGGTTTAAGTTTTTCTGAACTACATAAAATAGATTCTTAACCACCTTGTGTGGTGACTGTAATCATGTCACTCAGGTACTGGGATAAAGAAGCAGCAGACTAAACAAAGAGTAGATGTGCAGATGTGCATGCCTAGATTTTAATAGAGGCAAAGTGTTCTGGTAGGAATGTTGAGAACTCCTGAAAGGCAATTCTGTAAATTGCTTTACAATATCTATGTCAATGCAAAAAGCACAAACATTTAGACATGACAATGTCATTATAGCTTGAAGGTTAACTGATTTTGGGTGGTGCTGAAGTCAGCTTCAAAATGCACTTCTCTTGATAGCAAGAGAAGCTTTATTTATAACAAACAAAACTATGTAATAAAGGGGCATATGTTTTGTGATGCGGTGGAGATGGGGATTTTGAATTAATTCAAATGCTTGTCCAACGTATATTTGTAATTTTTTAGAGAAAGAGTTGAGTGAGGGTCTGAGATCTGCTTTAGAGACACTATGTCAGGGGTGGGCAATCATTTTTGGTAGGAGGGGCACTCCAAGATTTTGGTAAGTGGTCAAGTGCTGCACTGTTCTGTGGAGGGGATGTGAGGGGTCTAGGTTGGAGGCTGCATACAAAAGGGTGCAAGGGGTAAGGGACTGGGGTGCAGGATATGGTATGGGGTCTGAGATGGGGTTTGGGTGGAGGATGGGGTTGTGATCTGGGTCTGGGGATTGGGGTATAGGATCTGGGAGGATGTTTAGGTGCAGGAGATGATTCTGGCCTAGGGGAGAAGTATAGGAAGGGGTACAAGGTCTGGGAGTTGTCACCTGGGGCAGGGGGTGCAGAGGGTTTGGATGGTGATCTGGGGGAGGGAGTTGGATTGCAGGAGGAGTTGGGGTGCCTGCTGCAGTCCCTCTTGAAAATACAGGATGCTCCCTCCACGTGGCTCTCAACTCCAAGTGGGGGAAGAGGTTTGTGATGCCCCAGGCTCTCAGGCGGAGATCAGTTCTTATTGGCCAGTTGGGGCTGGGCATGGGGAGATCACATGAAGCCTTCTAATCCCTGCAGAGCAGAGAGTCACAGGGACTGTGTTTTAAACCACAGCAGCTGTGTGTGCCTGAAGGTCCCGGCAGGGTGGTCTATGGGCCGGATCCAGTGGCTTGGTGGGCCAGATCTGACCCCAGGCCATATTTTGCCCAGCCCTGTATTATGTGATTCCCAACAATCAAATAATTATATTTGTATTTAGATTTCACACCCATGTACTGGGTCTGAGTGAGCAAATATGTGGTGCTAGGGGGCCCAATCAGACACTCAGAGACCCAGGTAACTTTGCTTCTCTTTAGTAATCAGAGAGGGAGCATTTGTGAGCAGGCTGATCTCCATACCCATTTGTTAGAAGGCCAAGTTGCAGATCAATTTGTGTTTTCTTATATTGGATTCTATGTTTATGGAGTGAACTAGTCCTTCTTAAAACTTGTGCACACCAGTGTCAAAGGGAGAGCATACCTTGCTTGGAGAAATATTTGTTGTTGTTGTTGTATTCTTTTTCTTGCTCATCTGTCCCTCTCCACCACCATACAGGGTTCCATCTCTGGTACAGTGAATGATGACAGATAGTATGGATAGCACAGTTAGATTTCTGGCTTTCAGCACTGTTACTATTCCAGGTGGTGTTGATTTTAACTCAGTCTAATGAGAGGAGGAGCAGTTAACTATAAGGTGGAGCAGCAGATTATTTTAAACCTTGGTTTCTGGAAATCAGGATTTCCTGTTACTGTTTAACTACTTGAGACGGCATTATGCTGTGATGACATGACACACTTAACACAGATTGCATTTCAGGAAAGTAGACATTATGAGGACATATTTAATCCAATTACATAGTAACTAGCTCAGTAGCCAAATCCAACAAGTGCTAGCCAGCAAAGTATGCATCTGACCAAGCAATCTCTTAGCAGAGTTTTGCTTTTAAGTGGTCTTGTGAAGTGTACTGTCTGCGGAATCTCATTCTCATTCTGGGGCAGTAGTGTAGG